GAAATTGATAGAATCTTGCCAAACTAAATCTATACTACAGCCACTAGTGGAAATACCCTGGGAGATTCTAGGGAGTGGCTATCCTGAATCTCTTTCTCTTCTTACGCTCCCCCTGTGGATTGTGTTGCCTCCTCCCCCCTGCTGGAATGCACCCCCTCCTTCCTGATAGCTTTGATCTCCCACATCACTCTCCTCCTTGTAGATACACTCCATCACACCTGCCTATCAGTTTCTCAGTCTGTCACACTTTCTCTGAAGGGTTCTTCCCTAGTTTGAAAGCAGCTCTGCATGTCTCTGATAGCAATAACATCAACAGTGTTGGAGAGCTGATGTGTGTGTTTGTTCCTTTAGAGGCTGGGATTCTGTAGAACTCCTGCCTCCTCCCAGCTTCTGAGTTTCCATTCTTGTAAAGGGAATGATGGTTTTGTGGTGTGGCAGATCCTCCTCAGTAGTCCACTGACAAGATTCTATCAATTTCCCACTGCTTTTCTGTAAGGAACAAACTGTTTGCAAAGCACATGTTTGTCCTTTTTCTTTTTACTTTTCTTTCCTTCATTTGAATGGAGTGGGAATGAGAATACTCTTGTTGCTGCAGGCTATGTGACCACCAGTCACTTGCCAGTGATTTTTCTCTTTTTCAACAATATACTGCAAATGTGGATCACTGCCAAACTGCTTCTGAAGGTTTTGAGAATGAAAAAGCTAATGGTGTGAAGTGCCCTCCATTTCTTTTTCTTTAATACCCTCCCTGCCACTTGATATACAGGCCAAAGTTAAGTATAGTTGCTTTGAAGAGAGAGAGAGAGAGAATCAGCTTTCCTGCAGTTTGCTGATTCATCTTCATATCAGCATTCTCTCACCAGCACTGGCTTAACTGAGAAAGCCAGTGTCTAGAAATAATATTTTTCTGACACTATGAAGTAATATCACATTTCACAACCAGATAATGGCTGTTAAGGTTCATGTTTCTATTAAACATTTTCTTAATGCACATAAGAGAAGGGCTGGTCTAAGCATGCTAAAAACATCAAAGGGCAAAGGCGCATAAAAGAACCTTGTTGGTTAGACTTTGAAAGTGCAATGAATTTTTGCATTTATCATTTCTTTTCATTCCTGTTGTTAGGAACAGTTTGGCTGCTTTTAGGAAGAGGGATAGCCTGCAAAGAAGGAAATGAAATTGCTTTCTAAAGCCTCAGTTACTGGATTGGCAGAAGCACTGGACCATCAGCAACTCCTTAATTGTAGACTGTTGGTAGTAGGAGGGGAAAAGTTAGGTAGTGTGCTCTGAGCTCCTGCAAACTTGACCACAAAACAAAGCTCTTAGGTTCAGCCCATCTTCCCATAACTAGGTCTGGCAACATCAACTGCTCTCCTGAAATTAAGGTGATGATTCTTGGTGCATCCCTCTCTGGAATATCCTACCTGGAATATCATTTTTTTCCCTGTTTTGGCCAATATGCTGCTTTGAAAACCTAATTTACTTCCAGAAGCCAGGTGATTTATGGTCTGACACAGTGAGACTGAATGAATTCCTTCACACAAAGGAAGAACTCATGCATTAGACTTACCACTGGCAATAATTCAGGAAAGAAGCCTTAGCAGATGAAAGTAAGTGCATAATTATCCTTCCCCACTTTGTACAATTAAAGTGTTGGGGGGGGGGGAAGCATAGAAAAACAGCCTTTTGATTGTCCTTAACAGATTTTGGTACAAACAAATGGGCTTGGGGCCCTTGCTTGTAATTACTTCCCATGATAAGTGTTTGAACCAACCACATATAAAAGACTTTTCCATGCACAACTAGTCCAACTTTAACCTTGGGGCAGATCCACCCATCCTGCTTGGCCCATTGTCACCATGGGTGACTCACTGTTTCTTGAGAACAGAACAGATGACATCGTCTTACTCCCAGCCCATTGCAAATGCATACCCCATCCCAATTTCCCAACTTTAATTCAAAATTGCTGCTCTCCAACTTGAGCTGACTTTAGAATACTATAGGTGCTCTGCAGTACTTCATTTCATTCTCCTAGAAGCTGGCTGCAAAATTCTGGGAGCTGAAGTCCACACATCTTAAAGTTGCCAAGGGTGAGAAACGCTGGTGTAACCAATCAGAGCTGGAGCTTCTACTAGAGTGAAATTAGGCTGCAGTCTGAAATTTCATTAGATAACAAATGACTTGGGGTTAAACTACTAGAAGAATGGATTGTAGGCCTCCAATGTTTGTATTTCCCAGAATCAGAGATTTCTGGATGTAATTCAGCCTCTGAGTGAACTTCCTGAACCTTTGGTAAATTCATAAACAGATTTGTCATGCCTCTCATAATACACCCAGAGCTCCAGCTAATGATATCCTGGAAGCCCCAAAAATACAGCCAATTCTCTCAAGAAGGATTTACTACCATGTCTTCCCACCAGTCAACAACTACTAGAATCTAGCTTATTTCTAATGTGAGATGCATTGAAATGACAACAGACCAACATTTACAAGCTGACCAAATAAATGCAGCTCCATTTGTTGTGATTGGCTTCCTTTACTTCAATTTCTAATGGGTGAGCAGGCAAGAAACAGGTAAGTTTGTATGGATTTCATTAAATCTAATATATTGCATTAAAAGGGAAAGTGTAGCTTCAATTTTAAAATGTTCATGTGTATGAGCCTATCTTAGCTTAGCATACATTACAGTTCCTTATTCTCTATGAAAGGAACTTGTTCTATAACTAAAAAAAAAAACTTTCCTAAGCGATTACATTTGTTTATACAAATGTTTTTCTGGGGAGAGGAATATCAAATATAGATTGTTAAAATAATTGTGTCTCTCCTGAAGATTTTTCTATATCCTCTCAAATTGTGTGCTTTTTTTTCCTTTTTAATTTCCTCTTTCTTTGTATTGTTCTACATATTCTTTTTTCCCCTTTGATGTTTTGGTGCTGTACTGTGTGGAGAATACACACATACACCCACCCCTGTGTTGGAATATGTAGCAAGACACTGATAGCAGAATATCTGACGGTTAAGACCTTATCTAAGCATAGTTCAGTCTGTTGCTTTTAGAGAACTGGGTGTGGTCAAACTATTAAATTTGCTTGGCTCCAGCCACAGTTTTATTAGCCTGGGATTGTAATACATGCGGTTGTCTTTGCTGGACTCTTCTACTGAAAGGTAACCTTGCAAAGGAGATAAGTATCTGAGAATCTTGCTGGTTTACAGAAGATAGTTGAAATATGTGATTTTTATTTCCCTGTGTTATGTGTAGGGAAGAATGTCCTTTACCACCATTTGAACTTCTACCACAGGGTGAGCTATCTTTTGAAAGTTGGGCCAGTATTTGAGGAGGGCAAGGGTTGAAATAGGTGGGCACTGATGCAGTGTGGGACATGTAACGTGGGTGGCTTTTCCTTGGGTTTAGAAGGGAATTTGGTTCTTTTTCATTCTTTTAAAAATGGGCTTTTATCTATTTTAGGTTGGCCTCAACAGGTGCTAAACCTGGCCAAATTTGTCTGGACTTGATGGCTAAGCAGGGTTGATCCTGGTTAGCATTTGCCTGGGACACCACCAAAGAATACTAAGGCTTTGGGTTAGACTGGGAAGTTTAAAAAAATCCTAGAAAAAAGCAATGGAAAACTAATTATGTACTGGTCCAAAGAACTGCATGGTTGAATCAGTGTAGTCATTAGGTGTTGAGCTTGGCTTGAGAGTGCCTTTATCATATATTAGGTTTACAATTCTGTTTTTGTGTATTTCTCACTTCAGAATGACAGTAAACTATGGCATCAATTTTCAGCAATTGTGTACCATAGGAAAAAGAGTATAGGGGCTGAATGCAGACTAAAGCCTTTTTGACTTTAGTTGGTCTTACATTATAATAACAGTGTTACATTACATTATAATGCAGGGTCTGTAGCAACTGTAATGTATTCTCTGTGCCCTTCTTAGAGAGACTAGTCCTGTGCTTTAGGATGAGCTAACAACTAGACACTAAAGAATTGAAAAGTTGCGCTCACTGGAGAAGAAACCTGAAATGTATGAATAATTATAGTGCAAGAATATATCCAAACCCAATAAAATATTTATTTAAATAATTATTTAT